AAGGCGGGTGCAGAGGGAGTCCCCTGCTGGTGCCGGCGGCAGGCAGCCAGAGGAAGGGAGGCCCCAGCCGGCAACTGGCAGCCACTAGGGACCCTACCCAACCCGTGCATGAATTTCATGCTCTGGGCCTCTTGTTTGCAATAAGCCTTGAAAGGCAGAGACAAAGAGAGTTCAGGCAGAGGGGCTGCCTGAGCAAAGGCAGAGCTGTGAAACGGGACAGTGGTCTTGGGGTGGCTGCAGGGGCTGTGTGTGGGGAGGGGTGCTGATGAAACCCCCACGGCAGGTGTCTACTGCTCCCGTCCTAGGAGGTAGGCAATTGGGGGTGGGGAGTTTTCTATTTCTGTGTCCCACCCATCCCGCTGCACCATTCCTGGACTTTCCCGAGGCCACTCTCCCCTCTCATGTACTGCTGGGCACAGCATGGTGGCCTCATCCAGCCGGGCTGGAAATCATGGGCTGACAGAGGCATCATCAGACTCCCAACCTCTTCCACAGTCAGCCTGCTGACTGCACCTTCTAGGTGTCTCTAGAATCCCTCCCTTCACTACCTCCCTGCATCCTCCTGCCCCCAGTTGAGACCTCAGCCGTTCTCACCTGGCTCCCTGCCCTCCCCACCTCCACTCCATCCCCTCAGCACTCTTTCTCCGAGATTTAACCACAGTGGCCCTTGCACAGCCCGAGTCTGCCTGGGCTCCCACTGCCCAGGATGAGTGCAGGCTCTCCAGCCCAGCCTCAGGCAACGCCCTCCCCTCCTCACACTGGAGCCAAATGCTTTCAGTTCCCAAGTGCAAGACACTGTACACCCAGCTCCCTGCAGGATCACTTCCCCAGTCTGGCACGACGGTGTAACTCTCTCAGGCACCGGCTCAGGCAAACGTTCCTGCCTGGGGTTTCCTGGCCTCAGCAGCGATCCCCTGGGTGGTCTGGGTGTGTCAGTTGGTGTCTGTCTGCTCCCCTGCCTGCCTAGGAGCCCTTCAGGGAAGGGGGAGGCGACTCTGATACACCTGTGGTCTCCAGGCCCAGAGCAGGTATCATGATGGTTTGTTGATTGAATAAGTAACCAGTGCCTCCCAGACAAGACTGGTGTGGAACAGGGGAGCGGGCGCAGGACTGGGGGTGCGAGCAGGGGCTGCACAGGCTGTGCCTGTAACTCCTCAGCTTGAATTAATCACTTACTCTCCCTGGAGCCCCATCCTTAAGATGCACGGGGTCAAACGGCCTCACTACAGCCTTCGAAAGGCAAGAGTCGACGGTCACCGTCTCCTTTGGGGTCCGGGGCTGGGAAGTTCCTCCAGGCATCTGACCGGTTTCCCTCTTGCTACAGAGAAGCTGGTACTGACACTGGGCTGCCTCCCACCGCCGCCCAGTCTCCAGGGGTCGCCGTGGGCACGGCCTGAGAACTGTCTTCTGTCCACCAAGGGCTCTCACTGGCAGCATTAGAGTAATGAGTCACGGACAACAACTAAATTCATTAGCCCCGGTTATAAAAAGCTTTGCTTCCCCTTCCCAGAGTGAGCGAGCCACCTTCTGTTGCCAGGCTCCTCCACCCACTGAGCTGGGGCAGGAGAAGGGCTCACTTCACCTCTCTGGTCCTCAGTTTCCTGTTTCCTTATTTGTCA